CGTGCAATGTATGAAGAAAGACAAATACCTTTGATGTTGGAGTATGAAATACAAGTAATTGTTTCTGCTGAACTGTAACCTTTTGCTGTGCGCAGTGATATGGACCCATGTTCTTCATTGTTTAGGTCCCAAATCCTAAACTTCTGCATTCTCAAAAAGCGGACTGGGACGCAAAAACCAAACTTGAAGTGATGCATTCACGGTGCTTAAGGAGTGTTTTCAGGGATATTCAGATCCCGTAAGTTCCGAGAAATATAGCATGCTTTTGATCTAACGATACTTAGTTTTGTCCTCATAGCACTTTATCCCAGTCATTTTTCGCCCATGAAATCCAGTACCCTTTGAAAAGATTTCGCACTTTCTACCGCATTTGGAATTTCTATTAGCAGAGATGGGGAAGCGAGTCAGGCACATTCGCTGTTCAGAGGTACGCTGCTGTAGTTTTTCCCCAAAGCCTGCTCATCGGTTAATTTTTTAAGCTTTTAAACAAAAGCACATTCTTTCTTTATCACTGCCACTGTTTTTCAGAAACGGTTTAGTATCTAAATGATTTTGGCATGACTAATTTTTTGTTCTTCGGTGCTAAAACCATATAACCGATTTTGATGTCTCCTCGGCTCAGTTAAGTGTTTTTCCGGCCGGCCAATATTTATTTAGTTAGCTTTTTCATTTCACTGTTGATAATTCTAATAGATTTCGGAAGCGGCGAAAGCAAAAGAAAGAAACGGCCTTCCCTCCTCGGAGACAGTGCTAAAGTTTGTACCTGATATCTTTTTCACCGTTACACATTGCTAACACGCCACTCTCCATGGCTATCATTTGAAAATCTGGCCACTTTCCAGTAAGCTTCACCTGAAGTGGAAGATTTTTGCAGATTAGCAGCTAGTTGCGAATCTGGTGGGCTCATCTGACCAGATACTGCTAATATTGGCCATTTTCTTCGAAGTGAATGTTTTCGAAATTTTCTTTGTCATTTTATCAAGCAAATTGCTACTTCCGTATCTGCTGAAACATCTGCCGAACCTTGTGTCTATGCACTGGTAATTATGCGTTTTGGCCTGTATGCAAATTGCAGGAACGCATATTGCGACGACCCTTTCGTGTGTATGTGGGTGTGAGTGTGTGTATATGTTTGTGTGCGTTTTCGTCCGGCCAGGTATTTCAACTCGGCAACCAAGCAAGCTTCGACGCCGAAATTTTGCGAGTGGGTTCCCCGACCAAACGCCACACCAGGACCGCGGTATCAATCTTCACACAAGTCTGGGCCCCGCGTACGAGATTTTGCGGGAAAAACGCTAACTCAGGAACGAGAAAAGATAGAAAGCTGAAATTTTGAGGTTATGTTCCCTGTCCACCTGTAAC